GAGGGGGGAGGGGTCGAGGGAGGGATGGGATAGTAGAAGGTGGTAGTCTACACACACACACAAATTAAGTTTAATTCACATGCACACGTACACGGCTCGTCGGAAGTTTGCAGAACGATTTTCTGTGTCAGTTCCAAAAGTTTGGGGCGCTCCGTTGTCTCAGTTGGTATCATGCTAGAACTGGTCGCCTTTAAGGACAAGCGGGGCATCCCGCAAAATTCTGTTTGGAGAAACCCGAAGGTAAATTTTTGCCCCTTGTTCAGTTTCTTTAATAGACAAGGAGAGTTTTCTCTGTAACCAAACAAATATACACACCAATGAAACCAAACTTCTCCTATAGGTAGGTCAATACCCACTTTTGGTGTAGGTCAGAAATTTGGATTAGCCCGCTTGTCCTTAAAAGCGACCAACTAAGGAGCAGATGGTCCTGGTTCGAATCCCAGAACTAGAGTTCTTGAACGTGGGTAGTATTGCGGAGATTTCAACGCTCTTAACCCATTTGGCTCCGCTCTGTCGAAGACGGATGTTAAATTCCGAATTCGGCCTTTAAGATAACCTAATAGTGTTGATAGGGACGTTGAACCTATAAACATTTTCCTGAAAGTTTGGCTGGTCAGAGCGTTCACTGTGTTCTTATCAAACCGGAAACGGCACAGATAACTTTAACGTTTCCATGATGTGCTTCCCTGAGCGTTAGATCCTCAGCATTCAAGCACCTCGGCACTTATATAACCTTATTGTGTTGCAAGTGCCGTAAAACTCTTACTAAAAGTAAACTAATTCAAGTACTCCTGCTACCCACTGAATGCAAAACCTATTAACTATTTTAAGAATAACGCAACATGTACTGTGACAGTGGGAGATTAACTTTTTCATACTTTTAATATGACAATAATACCTACATTCACTTTTTCTTGCTGCTCTCAACATTTAGAATTTGAATTTCGACAAAATATTTATTGAGCACAAGCAGCCGATACCACAGATTAAGAAACTGCAATTTAAACACACTTTAAAATTGTGGGCTCAGTACAGTATTTATATTACCAAAATGGAAAAAGAAGGAAAGGTAGACCAACTGGCAGTTATATAACTGTGATCAGGGATGAGATGAGACAATCAACCAGAGTCTGGTTGCGACAAATCTAGCGAAAGTGGTCGCCAGGGGAAGACAAAAGCGTGGCGTTGACTGCTCTCTGCCTTGTGCATCTCACGGTTCACTGAGAGAGAAGTTGTACTAGATCTAGTACATTTGTGTTTATACGCATTGTATTATGTACGTGGCGTCGATAGTGTAGTGGTTAGGCTACCGGACTCGTCATCGTGAAGTTGCGGATTTGAGGGTTCGAGCATCAGGCCCGATGGTATGTCCTTGGGAAAGTCATTTTAAAGCGAATTTCCCTCAATTTAGCCAGGCGTAAAAGGGTACTCAGTCAAAGACATCAAAAGATCTTGACAGTGTGTTAGTGTTTTAGAGCCTGTAAAATAGCAGCTTGCACTGTGTACTTCCCAGGGAGTTGAGATTGTTTCAGAATGTTACGCAGGTCTGCTGGGGGTAATGATATAGATTGTAAAGCTGTTGAGCCGGTATAATAATTATTATTATTATATTACTGTTACTATCATCATCATCATCATCATCATCATCATCATCATCATCATCATCATCATCAT